GGCTGGTTTCTTGTTATATCAGGACCTGGTTTCCCTGTGGCATGACAGAAGGGTGGGTTGTTCATTTTGTCCCTAACTGACAAGTTTTTGTGCCAGGTCACCTCAGAAGTCATTGGCCAGCCAAGGGTTGATTGGGTCAGCTCTACTTTGTTGTTACCTGTGGTGAAGGTTGCAGTCAGGCTGAATCCAGCGTACGATAAATCTGTAGTCCTTACAAGGCAAGATTTGCCCAATTTCTACTGTCTCTCTGTCTTTCAGCCCCAGAGCATCCATGCAGAGGAGGCCCAAGGAAGAAGGGGCGGTGCACCAGGGGAAGCCCAGGAAGGTCTTGTTCTTGGGGCATCTGGGATTTGGGGCAATGGGGAATACAGTCTAGGCTCATTTTATTTTGCTTGTGTGTTCTGAGGAAACAAGAGAGGAAGTATCGGAAATAAAGGAGAAGAAATAGCACATCCTAATGGGAACAATAGGTCTTATACAATGAAAAAGTAATAAAAACATTAGACAATGATTTGGGAGCTACTTACAGAATTTATTGGTACAGCTTTATCCAATTGCTATGCAATTCAGTACCAGTTATATGTCTTCTTAAAGAGGTACCAAAATTAAATTTGTGGAATAAACCACTTAACTGGAATAGTAAACAGTCTGTGTATATATTCAATATTTATTAGCTGTTGACATTGTAGTCAGTATGAAAGGAGCTTGCTGATAGCTGCCTACAAAGAGAAACCAAGAGTATTAGCACAAAAGGCCCATGATCAAGTGGGGTGTGTTTGGAGCTGGAGTCAACCACAGAGTTCAGGACTTGAGCTGCGAAAGGACTCTTCTTTTATTCCTTATCAAATCAAATTCAAAATATTCAAGTCTTACCTGTGTTTTTTTGCCTTCTGCCCAAGTAGAAAGCTGCGGTAGGCCTGCAGCCGAGGGCAGGTGCAGCTCACTTCGGGGGAGGGGAATCAGAGCAGTTCTGCCCACCTGGGCGACTGTTCCAACTGCGAGGCCAGGAGTCTGACTCTTGTCATCACCTCCCGTGGGGCAGAAGCCAGTGGCTTAGATGGCATCCCGTCTTTATTTTTCTTTTTTGGAGATAAAAATGGAAATGTGTCTTTTTGATGTATTTATAGAGACGCAAAAGAACAAGGATTTCTTTAAAAAGAGTTTTTAAGCACGAGAGGTGCAGGTGCTGCATTTTCTCTTTCACCAGTGCAGGCTGACTCCACAGAAGGTGTGAAAGGGTCTTGGCACACTTCCTTTATTCACAGCCCATCTGGGTGGAAAAATCAGTATGTGGTGCTGCCAGACACCCAAGGACTCAATTAGGAGATTTTCCCTGGAGTCTCCCATAGTCCTTTCCTGAGGATTTCATCTGCTACCCAAATACCAGCTTTCATACTAGAACAGGATTCCTAACCGTGTAGGGCTCTCTTGGTTAGTTCTACTCAGAGTTGTGTCTCTCTTCTGTAAAATAATACTTGGCACATAGTAGGTCCTCAACAAAATTTGTTGACTACATGCACTTAGGTCCTTCATTTACTGTGGATACAGGTGATAATAGGTAATCTTTATTAATCCTTTGTTATATAATTGACAACGTACATAAACATTTTACATATTTTATTTAATCTTTACAACATTCAAAGGGATAGATATAATAATAATATTGTTATTTCCACTTTATATTTTGACCCTAGTGGTGGAATCAAATACTCCCCAAATTTATTCTGCTAGGAAGTGGAATAACGTGGGGTCTGAGCTCCCCATCACTACCTCACGCTGTCCTCAAAAAGTTTGCAACTACTTTAGGAAGATAAAATAGATGCACATGAAACGATTAGTCTTAGAGTATATGAATTGCCTAAGAATCTTGTTAAAACGCAGATTCTAGAGTAAGGCACAAGATCTGGGAGGCATAATAAACTCTCAGGTGACACCAATACCTTGGCTCTAGACCGTGCTTGGAGGAAGAGCCTGCAGCGCTTCCCCTTTCTTCCTGCCAGGCAGTGATTGTTGTGGTGAGGGGTGGTTGCGGGACAGGGCCATGTGTCCCCGGTGTCTCTTGTCAGGGCCTTGTACCTTTCTGGCTCTTACAATGTACATGGAACCTTGCATTAATTATCTTGTGGGCCAAGATCACATCCAGGGCCTTGTGTGTGTCAGGCAAGTGCTCTACCATTAAGCCACACCCCCCACCCCTGGGATTATTCTTAATTTAGAATTTGTATTCAGTATTCATTTTTAAAATGAAAATGCATTTATTTCAAATTTTGTTGATTTTTCTAGATTACAAGACAGAGTGTACAAGTCTTGTACACAGTGCCATGATTTTTTTTTTTAAGTGCTAGAAATGACAGATCCAGGGCCTTACAGGTGCTAAATAAACTCTGTAATA